CCCGGAACTAAGAGATCTGGGTAATAAAAGAGAATTGTATTGTTACTGGACCGTCATTCATTACTTTTCCAGCCACTCGACCGTCTACCAATTCGATTTCATACCTCCATCCAGCCAATCAGCTAATCATCTATTCATTCAATCATTTATCCACTTATCCACCCAAAAACATAACAGTAAACCTGCCTAAATTAGGGTTTGAGCACACAAACAACGTAAGAGTTTAGCCTCAGACCATGGCTGTCGCCCAACAACGCCGGCTGATTGTATCGTGTACACGAATAAGACCGACGTGAACAAATGGAAGGGGATAAAGGCGACTAGATTATCGAATCTAGTCACGACGGAGAGTGCTCCAACTCTGTATGAGTGTTGTAAGCCACTAACTAGCCTTCAGTTACACTTTGCAAAGATCAAGGGATGGATGGACCCCAGTGGAATGTACAAGATGATGACAATCTCGAAAGACGTCTTGGGAGCAAATGAATGGCCAGTAAAATTAAATCAGACTGACTGGGATGGCTTGGGGAGGATTGAATTATGAGGGAGGAAAATTAAATTACAAGACGAGAGGCAAATTTGAAACGCAATTAGATTGTCTGACGAGACATCAGACGGCATCTCCCAATGGAATAAAGGGATTTCTGCCTAAACCACCACCACCACCGCCTCAAAATCCAGTTTGAAGGCAGTGGAATTTAAAAAAGGAACAACATTTGCCCACTCATTTATTTCACATCCCATTAGTTTGGGGTGCTAACTTGTCATCCTAGTCACGCTTTGAACAATAATTGTCTGTCATTTCATCTATCCATCCAATTACCTCGTCACCACATTCATTCATCAGTCAGCCTACTGCTTATCTTGGCCACCGACGCGTGACCCAACCAAACTGTGGCGACGCCTGATACATTTAAAATCTATTTACAAAATTCCAGAAATTTTCCATTGCCCATACAGGAAGGTTGCATTCCACCTATTTGATCAAAATTCCTGCTAGGGTTCATGCGATAATGACAGGTATATACTTCAATGGGATGAATACGGTGTAAGATAAATTCGCACAACAGCTGGCGACTGCTCAAAAAGGCTGTCACTAGAATTTACACCACTATCAAAACTATAGATTGAATAGAATCGATACTGAGAGAAAAATGCCAACCTTGTCGCCCAAAGAAAGTCCAGTGATGTACGTAACAGCCACCATAAAGTAGCACATAGACAGGAAGATAATCGGCCTCTCGGGGTACTGGAATCGGTTAATATCAATGAAGAACGTGAGAATAGTGAACAATGTCGATGCAGCACACAGCCCACTCCACAGTCCGATCCACAACCGAGAAAATTTAATCCTTTTCGATTGACTAAAGAAGTGGCGATTGCAGGGCATCCCACAGTTAGGAATGACCTGTTTACTATTCAGTCTAATTCGAAACTCAAAGCTGGATGGAACCTAGAAGTCATGGTAAGCTAAAGAGAGGGTGGTAGAACAAACCCTCATTTCTTCTGGACATTCTAAAGTAGCTTCCACGGTCTCTTTCGTCTCTGGTTTATCCTCGGACACACAGAGACCATTCTCGGGAAAGTCCTCGCATTGCATGCTAGCAGGCCACTAAAAAAGTGCATGATATCATAAAAGGCCAGTTACCTGAAAGCTGAACGATCGCATGATGGGCTCGCATCGTTGCCGATTCTGTTCGCATAGAGAACGACATGGAGGGAGGGGTTTATGCAACTGAGTACAAACAGGGAAGTAGAGGGAGCACAGAAAAAGTTTCAAGGAGGGACTACAGGGTATTTTTACAAGGGAGTTGTATTGTGTGATGTCCTGACCAGCCTCCTCTTGTGAAGTGTGACCCATGATATTGGGAAGAATGGTGGTATTGTAGGGCAAACCCTGACAAGCGGGAATGCGAATAAGTTCACATTTTGAAGTCTCTGCGTAAGGATTCTCAGGTCCCCGTTGTATGTCTATGCAAACGGAGAAATGCAGGAGGAGAGTAAGGACAAGCACTGACGATACCATGATAACAGTGGGGCTAGACGCAACCAAACCGTCCGAAGCGTTATGCTTGAAAAATTTTGTGCGTTTAAACAAGCTAAGTAGGTCATCAACATTTTAGGTGTTCATTAGTTTAGAAAACGGAAAAGATAAAGGCGTCAAAACCCAAAGATTGTTTGACGTATTAAATAACAAACGCCAAAAAGACCTTAAGTCTAAAAGCACGTTTTGAGCTATAGTTTGAGTCTTAATAATTTAGGCACAACATAAGTTGTGTATCATCAATAACATGATACTGCACAAACAACGCATCACTACCGGGATTCATTTCAGGACGACGTAGTCAAGTAGCAAAGACAGAAAATAATCTGGTAGTGGTTTAATCCGTTTTTCTGAAACAGCTCGAATTGACCAAATTGTAGTGTCCCAAGATTTTCATGCAGACGAAAGAAGACATAATACCCGAATAAAATATATATGTTAAAGAAAAGGCATTTGGTCTACTAGCACGGCTTGAAAGCCAGCCCGCCTGGTGTGGTACAAAGGCCAAACCAAAAGCGTCTCCTCGCCAAGACCTAGAGATAAACAACCACCGTACTGCAGTATTCCTTAAAGTGAGGCAACTCATATGTACCGGAAAAGGTGTAGAAAATATTAGCTAAGTCCTCTACAGTGCGTTTTGGGGTAAATTTATTGTATCATTAAGTTGCCAGATGATAAAGAGTATTTCCGAAGATCCGCAGCCCAAGTATTCTAAAACCTATCTAAAAAACAATTCAACTGCGTTAGTAAAGAACGATCACATACTTCGTCGATATTTGTGACATTTAATCTATCTGTCCCTAATTTAAGCGTAAACCATCTTCTTGAAAAATATCGCCTCACTTGTTCATATTCAGAGGGTATAATTTCCCTTATTTGCTAAAACTGTTTAGAAAAAGCTTCTCTGTGTTTGCTAATTCCACATCATGTTAGAAGGTTTGGCAGTGGATTTTAGTCGGTTTTAAGGCACATAATTTGAGCTTAATTGAATTAACGGCTTAAATGTGTCTGATATGGATAGCGTATGCAACTATGTGCGATGTACCAAGTTGTTTCTTTGACCTAAAAATCCATTCTTTTTGAGTAGTTCTTACATCTGGTGCCGTATATATGGTTTTAGCGGGGAGGGGAAGATTTGCATCTGATTATTAAACTTTGCTTAAATGCATAGGTACCATCCAAATGTGTTACCAAATTCCCGATACTGAACTGGAGTGTATTTGTAGTAACACTCAACTTGTGTGTTGTCATTGCTTAAAGGTCATCTTATTGGTGTAATTTGAATTTCATTTGCTAATTCCATGTTCGTTAATATTCTAGTTGATGCTCGCTTTTGGTAGACCACTGTTTGGTAATTTGAATTGTAAGCTATTTATGTAGCATGATTTGTTTATCAAACTGCTGACCCCAGCAATTTTTTAAAAACATATTGTGTTGTTGATTTAGTTCGTTTCTATTCCTGTAGTATGTCCTGTCGCACGAGGAGCTGCGAGAATTCTGCCAAGTATGCGCAGAATATGTACTGCAAATGCAAAATTTACAACCAGGAGCGTGAGTGAAGCCTCGTTTCTCAAATTTTGATCTGCCTTTTAGCATCCCATCCTCGATGTGGGGTTGGCGAGATCGATTACCTGAAGGACCTCAAGCTATGTCATTGCATCAAAGATTTACCATATCCTCGCGCATTTCCTGTAAAGTGCTGCAATCCCGTTGTGAAAAAGACAAAAATAAAGGAAAAATACCGGGATGGTGAACTGGAGCGTCAGACAGAAGAGCGATATGTTGCCGAGTATTGTTCGAGCAAAAAGGAATGTGTTGAACTGAGGTATCCTCCCAAAAAGCTTCCAAGATCGTCCACACTTCCAAAGTACCTTCGAACTGATGACTGTAAATCGGAGAACTGCGATCCTCCTACCACCTACTATCAACCTGCCAGGCGGAAGTACTTTTACTGACAAATTAACACCCTTTTTCGCTATCTTCTGTGGTGTTGAAGGTGTGGTGCACACAATCTAGGTCTATTCAAAGTCGACTTTTTTACTTTCACTTTCCTTAATCCTTTTAAACCCATTTTGTTCTTTGAACGCTTACATTTGGTTAACAACAAGTGAACACGCAAAATTCCGAAACCATTTGATATTCGTCAACTTTGTGTTCAGTTTACTTGCTTGGATGGGTAGAGCTTTTATTATGAGACGGTTTGTACTTACCTCATCATACATTTGTTCTCCGTGGTTTTAATTATGACAAAGAGGTTGCCGCTTTATGAAGCAATTCAAGGAGATCTATTACCGGTGTCAAACTTAATTAGCGATAAAATGATAAGGCAATTAGTCATGCTCACTGGCTGTGGGTGTGGCTATTAAAATAAGTTGACGTCAAAATGTACATCGCTTGTTGTCGCCTTTTCTTACCGATATGTAGTAGAAAAGAAAATGCTTGTCAGATTGTCACGCAGTCCCGTCCCCAAAGCGAACTAGAAAGACTTTTTTCCGCGGACCATCAAATTTTGTGGAAGACCTAGAATCTTCACTTTGTCAAACATTGTCGAGATTACTTTGGTAGTGTTGGAAGCTGGTTCAAACAGTAAATGTAATCTTGAAGATTGATTGACCCCTTGAAACTCCATTCGCGGACTTGTCAATGGTGAACTTGTGATTGAGTGACCCTACACATTGACACTTTTACATCTATTCTCGGGTAAAAAACCCCAACTTTTTGCACAAACATTCGTGGAAATTAATTATATTTTGTTCCTTCATTCCGCACTTCTTTCAAAATTTAATAGAAAGCAAGTTTAAATCCTTCATTTAACAGTTGGTCTACTAAAAGTGGACTAGAAACCGGTATCAGAAGAAAAAGGAGAAAAGTATCACCTAAGACACCTCCTTTTTGTTGCACCTCTGTTCAGATAAATATTTTATTGTTGACAAATTCGCGCAATTGTGGGGCAACCATAAAATAGGCGTTTAATGTCAACTTGCCGGATTTTTAATCCGTCATCAGAAGTTAAAGGGAAAGCGTTGACAAATTGTTCTTCCTTTTTCTTTTAAAAGATTCTCGCTAGCTTAAATATTTTTAAAACAAAAGAGCAAAAGATTTTTAAAGCTCAAAATAAGCTAAATTAAGTAATAAACAAGGAAATATTAACTTTCAGATCGGTAATTTGGGGGTGGAGGGTGGTGTAGGACCCAGGTTTCACAGACTTTGATCCATAAACCCAATGACCCAAGTGGTATTTAGACATCTGACAGTGTTGGCATCATGATAGATTGGTGGACCGATTTCTACGAGGAATTGGATGCAAGCTTTCTCCCATTAAGTCGCAGACTTCAAACGCCAATTGAAAATAGCCTTTTTCCCTTCTAACTCTATCCTATATCCCGAAGAAGCGGACCAAAGTTTAGCTCTAAGCGAGGTGACTTGACAACTTCCATACAGCGGATGATTGAAAGAAGAAAGAATTCTTCAAGTTGTCATATATCACTGATTTTTAGTTTCAGCATAGGAACCACGCCAAAACCGGGGGGCGGTAATTCAGGAGAGTGGGGTGGCAACTAAGAAGAAGAAGACGACGAGGAGGAAGACGGAGAGGAAGCAATTGCAAAGGCAAAAGTTTTTATCTGGGAGGTTAATCAATGTGACTCTTCTCCTTCTCTATATGGGGCTGGGTGGGTGTTTATGTGTGAATGTGTAATGACTGATGATTGATGTCTCCTTAGTGAGGCGCCTTATTTTTGCTAGTGCAAGAGGCAGGATATTGCCGAGGGTAAGGGGTCGGTAAATGAGGGAGAAGGGGCGGGGGAAGTTTCAAATGGGCATCCATCATCAACACGAGGATCCGGCGACGAGAGCAGGAGAGACGAACCTTTAGTCAGTGTGTTTTGTGAAGGGGGTGGACAAGTTGGTGAAAAAAATTGCTACTTGAGAAGGCAATGTGCTATTCAGAATGATTGATTGACTACTCGACCGATCAAATGATTGATTGACATTTGTCTGTGGTTCTATCGATGCGAGCCAAGTTTGATTCGTTGGTAAGGCTGCAAAATCTTCCCGTCAGACTTGCGCGGTTGTTGGGCCATCGGAGGTGACACGTAACATGAGCGAACAAGTCAAGAGGTAGTTGAGAGTCACATCACCCAAAGTTATGGCAGGTGCTTAAAAAATGAGCTTCAAGTGTCACTCATTAAAGAACGTGACAGTCTAAAAGCCTTAAAAACAGTCACTTTGCTGTGGTGTGTACTCTAGTCTGTTTACCGAATGAATGACTAGCAAACCAATGTATCTTCGGTCGCTATCCCGAATCATTCAGTCTCCAAGGCTTTCTTTGTGTGTCAGGAGCCATTAACCGCTGGAAAGAGATCACTTGTCAAAAGGTGAGGCGTGATATGATTAGCTGGTTGGTGGGAGGCGAGTCCTCCTCACCACGATCTCCCGTCTCAAAGTTGAGGCGAGTGGAAGACGAGGAGGGATGCAAGAAGCTATTCTAAAACCTTTCCATGTAGTGATCATCCATTTGTGAAGCTGTACGAATGGACGGTGGAAAAGAAGGGGACCGGAACTATAATCTTTGGGCTTAAAAGAAATCTACTAAAGATATTTAACAAACTTTGTGAGTTTTTTTTTTTTTTTACTTCCTGTCCTTAACGCGTCACACAGAGAAG